TTGGCTAAAGCTTATTAAGTGGGTGTAGACACCCCATTTTTGACCGACCTTAAGACTCAGATGTCATCGATTGAGTGCTCGGTGATCGCGCATATTGTGCTCGTCCTGAGGCCACGAAGTCTCCGCTGAGAGCCTTGCCTCCGGACTTCGGGACTTTTTGTGTTTCGCCTCGATTTGCGAACCAGGTCTTGTTTTCTCTGTTTTCTCTTTCTGAAGGGAGGGAGAGGTCTCGTAGACCATCTCTCAGTGGCCGTAGGTTATGTTTCGTGGTCGTAGGCCACTTTTCCCGTTTGGAGACTAGTTTCCAATTTTCGGAGCCGTCGGCCGTGCACCTCGGTTTGGGATCGCTTAACTACCTCTGTTTGCTCTGGTTTTTGGCACACACCTTGTTTCTTCTCTTTAGAGGGACACTGTGGCCCGGGAGACCACCTTTGTGGTCACACGCCACTTTCGGTGCTTAACAGTCAGTTTTCGGGGCCCCCGACTGCGCGTTTTTGCCTCCGAACCTTCGTTTTTCATCGGTGTGGGTTCATTTTTGGCATGGACCCTAGTTTCATTGTTTGGAAGGTGGTACAAGGGTGGGAGACCACCTTTTCTCCTTGGAGACCACTTTTCTCCCGCCGGCCAGTTTTCTTGTCAGGTAGCTGGTCTCCCTCACTTCTGGGCCATAATTTCTGGTCTCCCATACCACCACTGAGTTGCATTCACCTGGGAGACCACCAATATGGGCTGGCCGACCACCAATATGGGTTGGCCGACCACCTTTCAAGCTTGACCCTTTTGAACCTGGTCGACCGACCAGGGCAAGGGGTCGGCCGACCACCTGAACTGGTCGGCCAGCTTTCTCATTTTTTGTCTCACTGAGTGCTATCCAGCTGTGCCAGCTGGGAGGCATTTGCTCCATCCTCCATACACGTGCATGGAGGATTGACCCTCTTGTTTTGGCTTCTTGAAGAAGTTGGACCCTTTGCTCTAAGCTTCTTAGAGAAGCTTGACCTTTTCTTAGCTTCTTAAGGAAGCTTGACCCGTTTGGTCTAGCTTCCTCAAGAAGCTTGACCCTTTTGGTTTAGCTTCCTTAAGAAGCTTGGCCCCTTTGCTCCAAGCTTCTAAGAGAAGCCTTGGACCTCTTCTTCTATAAGAGAGACCCTCCTCTCCACTTGCAAGGGTTGGGAAATTTTGGCTAAGGCATATACATACACCTCTCTCTATCTCTCTACATCCAAGCTCCAAAGCTCCATTGTTCTTGCACCATTGCACTACACCTCCTATTCTAATACCTCCACCATCACTCTAAGCACCTTGGAGCTAGTTTTCAGAGGTTGAAGGCTTACTATTTTGGTCCAGAAGCTGCTAGCTCTTTTGACTACAAGGATAACTCTCATTTTTCCCCTTTTTAGCATTGTTTTGCTTCATATCTTAGCCTAGTTTGAAAGCATATTTGGGATTTGTCATAAACTAGAAAAAGTCTTGTTTTAATCTTCTTAACATGTTTGTTTAAGACCTCTTTTCTGTTGGGGGTCATCTACCCCCTTGCATGCTTCATTTCTCTTTGTTTTGAGCCATGCATTAGGGCCTTTGTGTTGAGCTTTGTTGGCCCTTTTGACCACTGAAATCCAGTGGATTTTCAGTGGTTATTATGTGTTTTTGAGCATCAAAATCAGAGAGGGGTGACCCTCTCACCCCTTGTCTTGTTTTCTAGCATTATTGGCCTTACAAAGGAGCCCATATTTGCACACTTATTGAGCATGTTTCAGGCCATTATTTGTGAGTTTTATGACCTGCATGAACTCTTTCCAGAGTTGTTTTGCCATGTTGGGTGTCTATCTTGCATGTGTATAGTAATCCTCTTCATGGCCTTTCAAAGGCGCCTTCATTTGAATGCTTCATAGCCTTATTTCAGGCCCTTTTCAATGAGTTTTAGGGCCCTCATAACCTCTGTCCGGAGGTGGTTTTGCCATTTTGTATGTCCATTATACACGTGTAGAATAACCCTCTTATTGGCCTTTCAAAGGGACATATCATTCTTGCATGCATTGACTGAGTTTCAGTGGGTTTTTTGGTCATATTTTGGCATAGCATACTTCTGTTTTTGGTTGGTTTGGTGATCTCTCATGTGCTTCATATAGTTGTAGTGCAAATCATGGTTCACTAGCTTGTTTTGCATGATGTTTTGGCCGCCTTTCCTAGCATATTTTGGCCATGCATTAAACTGATTTTGTGCATGTTTTGGATTGCCTTAGCTCTGTTTCTAGGTCTCATGGTCGAATGATGTTTGTTTTGCATGCCTGTAGTTCAATATCCATGCTTAACTTTGAGTTTTGAGGTCCATTGCATGCATATACTGAGGTGTTTTCATGTTTTGGGGCCATTGCACATCATATTTTAGAGCTTACATGCATGCCATATTCCCATGATTTCTACTCTTTAAGTGCATTAGAGAGTCGGGCTTGTATGCCTCATTTACCGACCATTGCATGGGTTTCATTTGAATGCATTCCGAGCCATCGTTTTAGACCAATTTCCCACTATCTTGGACCTACCTAGGGTCTTTTTGGGGTTGGTTTTTCCATTTGTGCATTGCTTTGTGTACCTCTAGTGTAACGCACTTCACTAGTTTCAGTATTTGGGCCATCTAGCATGCATCGTGTGAAGTGTTTGCATGATTTGGAACCATTGTGCATCATATTTCAAAGTAGGATCATGTGCCATTCTATGCCATATTTCATCCTTTGCCATGCTTTGTTAGAGTTGCATGTTGTGCCTTAGGATCGGTTCTTTACATTCGTGCATGTTTGCATGTATTTTGGTTGTCTCATTTTCATCATATGGCCACTGATTTGAGTGTGGCTGAGGTCCACTCATATTGGTTTAAGTCCACCTTGCATTGTGTATGCCATTTGGTTCATGTTGTTGCATGTTTGACCATCGCATTGTGTATGCTTTGATTATGCCTTTGTGTATGTCCATCTTCGTATGTGTGCATTGTGCATGCCATATAGCTCATGTGCATTGTGTATGCTATTTTAGTCCATAGCATTGCGTATGCTAGGTTGCATGTGTGCATATCATCCCTTGCATGCCAACATGATTAGGTTGCGTTACATTTAGGGTTGCACATTGGTCGCATTGTGTATGCCATCTCATTGCATTGTGTTTGGAGTAGGGTTAGTTCAAACACAGGAAACGAGGGGCGTTTCGTACTCAAAGTGACGAAACGTGTCTCAATTTCCAGTCGCCGACACTCTGGATTACCCATGATGGAGTTTAGGCCTTGTTGTGTTTATATGTGCATTCATTTCATATTGAGTCGTGCAATTCGACTCCTCGGCCATCATGCATCGAGATGAATGATTGGTGGCACGAGGATCGAGGACTACTCTCCCTAGAGCTTGTGCAATGATGGAGAGAGTGGTCATGCACACATTTGTTGAAAATACCTTGCCTTCTCTCTCTTTTGCCTTTGTTGCAGAAAAACCAGAATCCAGGGGCAGAAAGTGGTCAGCCGACCAGCTTTTCTGGCAGGCCGACCACCTTTTTTGGTCTCCACCACAAAGAGTGGTCGGCAGATGGTCTCCATAGCCAAGGGCTGGTCGGCAGCCTTCCCACAGCTTCCCAGGGTGGAGTTTCAGCCTCTTGGAGCTTTGTGCAAGTTTCTGAAATCAATTGCATACAAAGGCGAGACGAGGCATCGCGACGGATTTCTCGACAAAGCGACTCGAGCAAGCATGCATCTTTCATCATTCAGAACAAAGCTGAGGCAGTCCATTACTTGTAGTATTGCATGCTAGTTTATTCATTTTCCTAGTTAATTTGTTAATTAATTAAGGTTTTGTAATATTTAATTAGCTAGAGTAGTTAATTATTTATTCGGACTGTATTATTTATTCGGACCCTCCAAGAGAGGCCAATTGTTGTAATAAGTGTGCGTGTGTATGATGTATGTCTTCCAACCCCACGTCTTTCTTCTTTTTATTTACCAACTTATGATGGTTAGTTTAGGGCATGCTTCAATTAGTATACTTATGATAGCATGTTTGCATTCATTCATCTGTTTTGCATGCACCGGGCTCGGCGCATCATACTAACTGCATCGTATTTCAATTCCAAGTTGAATACGTGTATCAATTGTTGCATTTCATATGCCATCTTAGAATAGCCGAGCCTATCTTAGTTGCATTTTGGCATGTGTTGCATTAGGCATTTCAGCATAGTTAGGATTCATGCATGATTTCTAATTAGCTTCTTTCTTTGGCTCGGAGTACTTGGTAAGTGTTTATGCTTTAGCATCCTTGCATGTGTGTGAGTGACTGCCATGATAGCATGCTTACCATGAGGCTAACTGCTTATGTGATATAACTGCTTGAATGCCTATGGGTGAAGGTTGAATTACTTAGATTGGAACAATTCATTGATTGCGAATTTTAAGCCCACTAGATAGTGGCAAAACCATGTTTTCTAAGCTCACCCAAGGGTGGCAAAATCTACATTTTAAGCCTACTTGCGAGTAGCAAACCGCTTTCAAAAACAAGCATGAAATTTTTTGTTCCAATTCAGGCGATCTGGTCTATACTTGTATGCTGCGCGCATCACATAGTAATTCTAGGCTAAACCGGAATAAGAACACATATGTTTTCAAAACTCGATATCATGGTTGACCTTCCCCAATCGTACCCAAGTTCCCGAGCCGAGGCAACTTTGGTGATGACAGACACGTGGCCTTAGGCAACGAGTCAGGGTTTCCTAAATTTCCCAAAATAAAACATTTAGGTGGTGACTCTGTATCTGGCAAAGCAGTCTATGTTTGGCACTTCTTTCTTAAAAATCAGTTTTCAAAAACGATTTGCCGGATTTGGACTCTTTGGTGATTCATCGGTCTTGCATTGCACTCTGCGAGATTAGATACAGGACCGTGACATTGAGTCCTGAACTGTAGTGAGCCCAAATGAACAAAACGGGATTTCCCTCCTGGGATGTTCGGGGGCGTCTACAGTGGGTTATCAAGAAAACAAAATTATTTGGCTAGCACTTGCTATGTGTACAGATTCTCCTACAATGCTGAAATTTGTAGGTATTCATATCCATATATGATCTCAAGAGCTCTGTTTGCTGATGCTGCTAGAGTAGCTAATGGAGGTTGCCTTTTTATCCTTTTCAATTTTGTTAAATAATCTTTAGCATGATGTTCACATTTCGATTTGGGTTTTAATTTGATTTGATTGTAGAAGTAAGCAAAGCAGGACCTCTGGTTGAGTATGAGCGTAGAATTGAAGCGGGTGATCTTGTGGATGGGGATAATTGTCAGGTATTGCAATCAATTCACTCTTCATGTTTGATTATAAGTTTCAAAGGAAAAGCTAGTAGTTTGTTTGTCTCTTTCGAATTTTCTCCAGCCCAGAAGGTTAAGTTTCTCATCTTCGATCAAAATTTTCTTTAGTTTGTAAATGTTTGAAAAATTATGCTCTCACTCCCTTAGATGGCTTGTATTTGCTAGCATTAATTAGTTTGGTTGTTGGTGGGGTAGTAGTTAGAATTAATGTGCATTTTCTAGGTATCATTTGATTTGCTTTTAAGACCTAGAATTAATGCAACTTTGGTTCTTGGATGTGAAAAAGTACTTTTAAATGGTTACACAGAGGATGTCTAAATTGTGAGAGTGATTTATTAATCCACATGTATTATCTAATTTGTTTGGTTTTCCTTTATTTGAGAATCAAAGTTTTTAAAAGTGTTATGAAGGTTGCATCGAGTCATGTATAGGCTACACTCCCCAAAGGCTTGTGCATCACAGTTTGAGGCATGCACTTCACATATGCCTAGTATGCCTTTTAGTCATAAGCATGTGAGGAGTACGTATAAGGAGAACTTGATTTGGGCTATTGTTAAACTTAATCTAATATATGGTTTAAACATAAAAGTGAACCTCTTTTGTAATTATATTCCATGGGGAAAACATCAATTACATGACCAATAAAAAATAAAAAAAAAACGAAGCTAAGGCTTAATTGAGAAGCTTGATAACTAAAGCTAAGAATGTTGTTTTTACCTTCGATGAGGGCAAGCTTCTTTATTTGTAGTGAAATGTTCGATGTATTGAAGAAAAATGTATTCACACCTTTATATTTAATTTTTAACATTTTTTTTTTACTATCGTAAAATATTTTCTATATGTACTATATAAAAATTTAAAATTAAAAAATGCTTACGCCTTGATGCCTTGAAACATACACCTTGCTTCGTGAGGGGTTAAAATGCATTGGGTGATTGTGTAGGTAGGCAGCATAAGAGAACTTCAGAGACTATATGATGAACTTGCCAAGTCAGCTGAAGCGTGCTGGTTAGATCGGTATGCAGCTTCTGAGAAAGCTGGCAGGTAATTGTTCATTTGGTTTCCTGATTCCTGAATCACTTGCTAATAAGGCAGATCATGATCTTCTTGTTTGCGTTTTACTATATATATATATATATTATGAACTGGAGTTGTCAATTTTTAATAGAGTTTATAACTTCATTGTCATTGATTCACTGTTTCTTTCATTTTCAGGAGTAGGTGGTTGTGGTCCCGTTTCATTCCTCAGTCTTCATACTCACCTGTGAAAGGACTCTATCTCTATGAAGGAGTAGGCACAGGAAAAACCATGCTGATGGACTTGTTTTTTGATCAATTGTATGTTTGATGTGCATAATTAATTTGCCCTCTAGGTGACCTTAAAATTGACTTGAATATGAGAACATGAGCTACCCACCATCAATTGCAAATCATAAGCATAATGATGAGGGAATACTATGTGTTAAAATCCACCTACTCTCCACCAGGAATATGGATTGATTATAGGAGACATTCTCTTCCTGTTTGCTCGGCTACTCTGTTCGCAGTTTACTTGGCCGTTGCTGCTGCTCGCACTGTACGGGCTCTTTTAGATTGGATGTCAAAAAATGCTTTCCTCAATGGTCATCTTCTTGAGGAGGGTCTTGACATGCAACCTCCACCTGGGTTCCACTTTTTCAAAACCTTTCATCAGCGTTTGCAAAACTACAGCGTGCTCTTCTATGGCCTCAAGGCAGGCGCCCTCGTGGCTTGGTTTGCTACGTTCAGTTCTTACCATTCATGACCTTCGGGATTTCACCTCTAGCTCCTATGACTCAGCTCTTTTTATACGTGTTCTACTTCTCACTTGGTACCCACTCTTCTTCTCTATATACTGTGGATGATATGTTATCACTGGTATGATGAAGCTGGTATTCTCCACCTCAAACAGTTTCTCCACCGACATTTGAAATGAAGACCTTGGTACGGCTTAACTACTTTTAGCCTTAATCTTTCATGATTCTACTGGTTTCCTATTTATGCCCAGGCAAATATGACATCGATCTTTGGCCGTGCTGTGCTTTACTGATTGCAAAACTACCTCTACTCCAGTTATCCTCAGATTCATCTCACTCCTCTCGATGGGACTCTTCTCTCTGGATTGCTACTCTTTATCGGCCAGCTCGTCGGCAGTCTTTGCTACCTCACAGTCACTGCGTTCCTGACATTGCCTATGTGTTCATATTGTCATCAGTACACTGTCGCTCCCCGCATCCCCACATAGCTGCTCTACTCCGCATCCTTGTACCTCAAAGGCACTTCTGTTCCATGGCCTTCACTTCTCTGCTTCCTCTCTCTCTTGAACCTGCGTGCCCTTTTCGATGCGTCTGATGGAGCTGGGATCCTTGACGAGATCGACGCTCTACCATAGGTTTCTGCCTCTTACTTGGGGATTCTCTTCTATGCTGGCGCTAGCAAAAAACAATCCCTTCACTGCCCGCTCTAGCACCGAAGCTGAATACCGAGCTCTTGCTGATTATATCAAGGAACTTCTCTGGCTTACGCTGGTCACTTTACTGATATGGGTGTTTCTTCTTCTTGTCCTACCCTCTCATCTGTGACAATCAGCAGCTGCCATTATTAGATTGCTCACAATGATGTTTATTCATTGATCGCACAAAACATATTGAGATGTGTTCATATCCATTCGCCAAGCATGTTACCTGTGGTACTGTTCAATCTTCTCCCTATTGCTTTCATCGATCAACCCGCTGATATCTTCACTAAAGCTCATCCTCCTGGCCGCTTCCATGATCTTGTTTCCAAACTCAACTTAGTTGATGCTTTCCCTCTTGAGTTTGCGGGGGGATGTGGATGTTAGTATATTATTGTATATTAATATTGTATATATGTAGTGTTAGTCATCATTGTAGTCTATCATTATGTTATGCTTTCATAATTGTTGTTCCCTCTTCCGTTATGCTTTCGGGCTAAGGCACACCTATGTCTCTTTTCCTCTCTTAAAAGAGAGGTGTACATCTCCTTGTAATACACAGATATACAACAACTGAACAATTCAGTATTTCTCTCTCTCTCTTCTATTCTCTATCATCTTCTCAAATTATTGTTTCAAAAGACATGGTCAATAAGGCCTTAAGTTTCTCATCTACAGGCATACCTTCAACGTGAAATGAATGGTAGAAAAGATTCTCTGCAATCCACCTTCATAAAGGTTGTCCGGAGAACGATTTGAAGTAGCAAGAAGAATCTATACTTGCAGCCATATGCAAGTTTTATTTCTCAGTCAAAAAATCCACATGTCGAATGCATAGAGCCTAGAGGCTGAGAACATATAAAAATTAGTAGATTAAACTACTTACCACGCCATTGCTGAATAAATGTCCAAATAAACAGTTTAATATCAATGCATCAGCAACATCAGTCACATGAAAAAAACTTAGAAAAATGGAACTTAACAACAGGAACAGAGTAAAGGCTAGTAGATACCATTCCATGAATGATAAAAAACAGAAATGATGCCGCTATTTTCAAGTTCCAACATACCATAAATTCGTCGAGGCATAACAAAATTAATTCATCAGATATCTCCCCTGCTACAACTTCAAGGGGATCCGGCACACCTTATGCTTCTGCAATTATACAATACTATAGCATTAAATTTATACTTCAGTACACACCACCTATTTCCAAGTAAAGCCGCCAAGAAGAAAATGAAAATTGGGTCCAAAGAAGATGTTTTTGACTAATTGAAAGTATTTTTCAGGATAGAGCCATAGTCCATGAACTCTAAGATTTAAGCTATCTTGACAACCGATTCAATGAAATGAACGGCAGAGAAGAAATCATAGTATCCAAGATTTTTTGTTGTATCATTTAGATAGCAAACTCATCTTGGAGATGCTCATGGCTCATTAAAAACTCTGACCAATTGTTAGACCAGGTTCAATTACTTGTGGTGCCAAATGACAAGCGGCAAACAAAATAGTCAATTTGTAACAAACTTTCTATCTTGTTTGCAGTTAGAAGAAATATGGATAATTCTTACTTGCAAGTGGCTGTGGACATCCAACATGAAATCATGAAAATGAATCTCTCTTTTCCTCCAGCTGCTAGCCTGAAAGTATAAATACAAATTACGAGGAAAAAAAACAGTGAATAATATTTGCATAGTGTAGAAATTTAATGTATAAAGAGAAATAGAGAATTGTATTATTGATTGATTTATATTGATTTCTATTACAATGATTCATGATTCCTATATATAGAAGGGGTGAGTGTGTGTTAGTAGGTAAGGAGTAGTGAAGTGGAGTGGGTAGTGTGTAGTGGGTTAGGTTTAGTGGAGTAGGTTTAAATGGGTGAAGTAGGTGGTGGAGAGTAGGTGGATTTTAACAGCCCCCGCAAACTCAAGGGGGATGGAACTAAACCAACTTGAGTTTGGAGAGGAGTAACAAAAACAGAAATACAAAAATAAAGAGGATAAGAGGACACTGTATGGTCGTGTCAGACCATTGGTGAAGACACTGGATGGTGGTGTCATAACGTTGTAGAGGACACTGTATGGGGGTGTCATAACCATGTAGAGGACACTGTAGGTGGTGTCATAACGGTGTAGAGGACACTGGATGGCGGTGTCAGACCGAGTAGAAGACAGTTATGGGGTCATGTCGGACCGTTGTAGCAGACAATGTTGTGACAGTTGTGGTGACAGTTTACGGAGTCTTGCTGGAGCCTTGTAGAAACTAACCGGAATCAATGTCGGGACAGTTTACAGAGTCTTGTCGACCCATGAAGGAGCTAACCGGAATCAATGTGGGACAGTTTAAGAGTCTTGTCGGACCCATGAAGGAGCTAATCGGAATCAATGTCGGGACAGTTTACAGATCTTGTCGGACCCTTAAAAAGTCGCACCCTCAAAAGAAAAGGTGTGCCCAATCTTTCAAAAGGCGTGCCATCAAAAGGCGTGCCCAATCCATAAAAAGGCGTGCCATCAAAAGGCGCGCCCACTTCATCAAAAGACGTGCCCGACAGAAAGCGTCGAGCCATCAAAAAGAGGCGCCTGACACGCGGCGATGCACGTGATTGACAGAGCGCGTGTCGGCCTCGTCGTCTCTATCTTTATAACCAAAGCGAAGTCTGAGGCTTGAAGCATAACAAACCAGTTGAAACCTCTTCGTTCTCTGTAACATTCTGTAACCAACCCTTCTTTGAAACACTCAGCAACCAAAAAACATGGCTTCTTCTCCCATTCAGCTACCTAGAACATAGCCTCTTCTTCCCGTGGTCTGCTCACTCCTTTTCCCGACCTCAACGAGTCAACAAGAGAGATAACTGGTGCGGTGGCCTGTGAACCTCAACCAAAACACCTCTGGTTTTGCTCCGTGTTGAACTTTCTGAATGCGGTCGGTGGAGCAAAAAATGGCAGTGCAAACGGATATTGAAAGCTAATCAGTATACATGAAGTCCCTGTGTTGAAACTATGACTCG